GGTCAATAAATATTTTTACAAGGGTGGTGCTCTTATGATCTGCAAAATGTGAAATGAAGATATATCTTCCCATGAAACAACTTTGTCAGAAAACTACCTGATTTATTCCTTATGACTCTTAGGATTAGTGTCCTTGTATAGATGTTGTTAAATATAACATTTTAACAATTTTAATATATTTTCACTAATTGTTAATTTTAATCTCTCTCTCTTTAGATTTTTGCTGTAGGGCATGTGCACTCACCAGAGAAGAGAGAGACAAAGAGAGGGGAAGTGAAAGGTCACTCCCTGGGAGGATGGCTACGCTGCAATCTTTTCTCTTCTGTTCTATTCTTGGGATTCTGGGCACACATGCACACAAGCCTGGTGTGAGTTTCAAGTCACCAGGTCCGGAGCTCAAACTGTGGTTGGTCATGTGGGACTCCAGCGTCTTAACCATCACGCCACCTGCTGTCCCCCATTTCAGTCTCTATTTTAAATGGAGTCACTATGTGGCTTTTTTCCATTTCTATTTGTTCTCATAGCAAGGCTCTTCTGTAACAGCTCACATACTTGAGCCCCGCTGCACCATACAGACTGATAATCTTTCACTGAGACGGCTTTCCAGTATGTCTGCATAGGGTGGGCTCTGACTGACTTCTTTCTTCCGTGCAGCTGTTAACGGCTACATGTATGGCAACCAGCCAGGCCTAAAAATGTGCAGAAAGGACAGAGTTTCCTGGCATATGATTGGAATGGGCACTGACACCGACATGCATGGAGTTTATTTTCAAGGGAACACCATCCACCTTCGAGGCACTCACCGTGACAGCCTGGCCCTGTTTCCCCACATGGCCACCACAGCGTTCATGCAGCCAGACCATGCAGGTAAGCTTGGGGTCCATCTCAGGTGCTCCAGTTGCTCTCCTGAGGCTCATTCTCCTAGGTCCTCCCCAGATGAAATTGGTAGACATCGGGTACTTGGAATGTAGTGTTGACTAGAAGCAGAGAATCCTGATTGTTTCAGTCCAAACACATAGTGTAAAGGACAGAAGAGAAGCACCTAAGTCAACAGCTGTAAAGCAGAAGGAGGAGCCCTCCAAGTGACTTTGCTGTACAAGTCCTCAGAGAATGCTCTTGAAGCATAGCCATTAAAATTCAGCTCTGATAAGGAGGATATTTTTTACTTTTATTAGGCACAAACAACATTCTAGTTACTGCTGTGGAGCATCTAGCCAGGATGGATAACTCAATGAATCCTTCCAGGTCATGCATGAAGCCGTTAACTGTGGCCTGATCTCCCTTCTCTAGGGACTGAGAGCAGCCTTTGTGTTTTTAAGCTCGTGCTAGCATAAGCACACATTCATGAGAGAGGTGAGGAGATAGAGAGAAAGAACCGAGGACCTTCTGCAGGGCACGGTCAGGCTGCAGTTCTCCTCCAGCCCACCAGGATCCTGGTGCGTATGCCCCAGTGTGTTTTCAGCATCCAGACCAGGGACTCCAACCACAGCTGGTAAGTGGCTTCCAGCTCTGCAGTCTTGTATGCCACCACCTGTACCACAGGGGCTGGACCTGGTAGTGGCCTCCTGATGACTTATTTGGGGCCATCACTTGTACATTTTTTTGGACGTCCTTGGTTTCCTCAGAGGACAAGTTGCTTTGAGTCTTGAGTCCCTAGAGCTCCCCATAAAGTGCCAGTACCTGGGACTTCTCTTAGAGATTCCAAGCTAATGAGATAATTAGAACATTTTCATAAAAGACGTAGAGTAACTTGTGGTAGTGCTCGTTAACTGCTACATGAAAAGTGAGGACTGGAAGCATTCTAGGTGTTCCACATGTTTTTCCAATCCAACTCTGTCGTCAGTCTTAATAAGCCGTCAGTATGCTTCATAAAATGAATACTTGCCAACTCTTATGCATTAGTGATCATTTTACTTCTTTTTAAAAATAAATTAATTTTTATTGTGATTCCTGGTTTACATATAATCATTGTATATTGTGGTGGGGTACCATATGGCTTTTCTTTCTTTCTTTCTTTCTTTCTTTCTTTCTTTCTTTCTTTCTTTCTTTTTTTAGAGAGATTTTTGCTATAGGGTACATGCACTTGCTGGACAGATAGAGCAAGACAGAGACAGAAAGCAAGAAATCACCCTCCCCCGGGGGGATGGCCACATGTCAGTCCCTTCCCCTCTATTCTCCTCTTGGGATTTTGAGCACACACTTACACACACTTGGCATGAATTTTAAACCACTGGGTTTGGGACTTGAACCACAGTTGATTACATGGGAATCCACAGACATAACCATTATGCCACCTGCTGGTCCCAATGTCTTTCTAAAGTACATACCTCAAGACTAAAGAGGGGAGGGGATTAGGAACAGTCAGATTGTTTTAGTCCATAAAAACAGGCTCTCAAATCTAGAGTTGTCTGGAATAAGTTCAGAGAGTTGGCAACTTTTTCCAGTGACTTCTTAAAGAGCTTCATAACAAACTTCCCAGTTTATGTTTGGTAGTGAGCATAAATCTGTGACTATAAAACTTGGTCATTTCATGAATTCCTGTCCCTTACCTAAGCCAGGAAGAGTGCTCAACACCTGGGTAGACTGACTGTAGGCTGCAATGCAAACATGTCCTCTTTGTTCTTAAAGAAGAGAATGTGTTGACATTGGGGGACCATGATGAACTAATAAGTAACGAGCTGCCTGGAAAACATGCAGAGGGAGAGGGACGTCTTTCCAAGTCTGTCCTCAGAGGAATTGGCCCTGTGGTTTCACAGACCCTTCCTTATGAAGGTTCTTTTCAGTGCCATACTGGGCTGCAGATCTGGAAGCCTCGTCAGAGTCTGGGGGCACTTAGATACCCATTTAATCAATGGTTTTTGCTTGTTTGGGAGGGATAACTTTGCCAATATATAGACAACAGAGTTACTTTGTAGCAAGCTAGAAATTATCTCTGAGCATTGTAGATGGCTGAGAGACACACTAATTGTTTAATCACTCAATCTCAGAGCAGTGTCTGCTAGAGGATGAGAAGATTATTGGTCCAATAATTGTATTTGTTTTATATGATTTTATAATAAGTTCTATTAGGATGTATCTACCTGAGGTCATTGCTTCTAGAAAATTCAGTTTAAAAAATTATATAGGGAGGCTGGCAGATGGCATGGTGGTTAAGGTGCTGGACTCCCACATGGCTGACCACAGTTCGAGTCCTGTCAGCTTGCTTCCCTTCTCGCTTTCCCTTTTTCTCTTTTTCTGTCACTCTCTGGTCAAATTTTTAAACTAATAATAACAAATAAAGTTAAACGATTCTTTATAAAAAATTATACAGTTTCAGTCATGATGCCTGTGCTTCTAAGACACTGTGTTCCCTAAACTGGGGCCTTGTGTGAGGCCCAGGTTAGATTCCTGATTCAACCTAAAATGGCCAGACATGATGGTGTGCTCCTGTAATCCCAGCAACTAGGGGATGCTGAGGCAGGAGGATTGCCAGCTCAAGACTGCCCTAGGCAACAAAGCAAGACCCTGTCTATAAAAAGAGCCAGGCATGTTGGCACATGCCTGTACCCCAACTGGAAGGCTGAGGCAGGAGGGTCACAACGTGGTGAGTCCATGAATTATTTTTTTAAAGAATTATTTCTTTTATTTATTATTATATTTTAAAATTTGACCCGAAAGAGATAGGGAGAGAGAGAAAGGGAAAGTGAGAAAGCAAACTGCCAGGTCCAGGAGCAGTGTGGGAGCCTAACAGCTTAACCATCATGCCACCTGTTGGCCCTCATTTTTCTTTTTTCATTGCCAGGGTATGAGTGCTTGCCAGAGAGAGACAGACCAGGAAGGGACAACCCCCCGTCCCTGCATGGGACACAATCACACTGCAGTCCCTTCTTCTTTATCCTTCCATTCTGCCACATGTGTAAACATGTGCATGGGATCCAGCACTTTTTATCGCTAGGCCATAGGGCTGACCTAGGAGATCCTATTTTGGGGGGAAAAATTGCAAATTACGTTATCATTGGTATTATGTAGAGAAAGCTAGTGATTTTTTTTTTCTCTTTTTCCTTTTCACCTGGCATAAGGTAGACCTACCTTGGAAATGAGAATCTCCTTTGCTCAAGGCCTCAGTGTAGTCATACATTAGGCTTTAATGATAACAACAGCTTATAAATATATTGCATTTATAGTTTATGAAACCCTACAGGGCAAAATAGATGACTTAAGAAATTTGGCCTAATTTGAACTTTGTCTAGGATATTCATCTTTAGATCATTAATTCTTTTTTAAACTAAGGGGGGCTAAAATGGTCATATTTATCAGTGATTTTCCAGGAGCGAATATCTTTTAATATAAAGGGCATTCAAAAAATTTGTGGAAAATTATTATTATCAAAAATCTGTGCATGGGCCAACAGTTGGCACAGAGGTTAAGGTGGCAAGATCCATAAGGCTCACCTCGGTGGCTCAAGTCCAGACCCAGCGGCTTGGAAGTCACACTAGGCATATGTGCATACGTGCCCGGAATCTCAAGGGGAGAGTGGAGGAGCAGGGAATTGCAGCGTGGCTATTACCCTTTGGGGGTGACTTCTTACTTTCTCTCTTCCTCTCTCTGTCTTTCTCCAGCAAGTGCACACACCTTAGAGAAAAACTTAAAACAACAACAACAAAATCTATGCATGGATTTCTATTTCATGCCAGATTAAAGTTACGCCTTAATTCTATTTTTTTACAGACTTGTCAAAGTTTCCACATAGGTGTGTATTATAGGGAAGGTTCAGATAAATCATTTTTTAAAAGATTTTTAAGTTTATTTTTTATTTATTATTATTGTTTAATTTGACTAGAGAGAGACAGAGAGAGGGCAAATGAGAATGCAAGCCACCAGGTCCAGCACTCAAATCATGGTGGACCATATGCGAGTCCAGCGCCCTAACCACCATGCAACCTGCTGGCCTTCAGAAATCATTTCTTTCTTTCTTTCTTTCTTTCTTTCTTTCTTTCTTTCTTTCTTTCTTTCTTTTTTTTTTTCCTGTTGGCCCTCATTTTTCTTTTTTCATTGCCAGGGTATGAGTGCTTGCCAGAGAGAGACAGACCAGGAAGGGACAACCCCCCGTCCCTGCATGGGACACAATCACACTGCAGTCCCTTCTTCTTTATCCTTCCATTCTGCCACATGTGTAAACATGTGCATGGGATCCAGCACTTTTTATCGCTAGGCCATAGGGCTGACCTAGGAGATCCTATTTTGGGGGGAAAAATTGCAAATTACGTTATCATTGGTATTATGTAGAGAAAGCTAGTGATTTTTTTTTTCTCTTTTTCCTTTTCACCTGGCATAATGTAGACCTACCTTGGAAATGAGAATCTCCTTTGCTCAAGGCCTCAGTGTAGTCATACATTAGGCTTTAATGATAACAACAGCTTATAAATATATTGCATTTATAGTTTATGAAACCCTACAGGGCAAAATAGATGACTTAAGAAATTTGGCCTAATTTGAACTTTGTCTAGGATATTCATCTTTAGATCATTAATTCTTTTTTAAACTAAGGGGGGCTAAAATGGTCATATTTATCAGTGATTTTCCAGGAGCGAATATCTTTTAATATAAAGGGCATTCAAAAAATTTGTGGAAAATTATCATTATCAAAAATCTGTGCATGGGCCAACAGTTGGCACAGAGGTTAAGGTGGCAAGATCCATAAGGCTCACCTCGGTGGCTCAAGTCCAGACCCAGCGGCTTGGAAGTCACACTAGGCATATGTGCATACGTGCCCGGAATCTCAAGGGGAGAGTGGAGGAGCAGGGAATTGCAGCGTGGCTATTACCCTTTGGGGGTGACTTCTTACTTTCTCTCTTCCTCTCTCTGTCTTTCTCCAGCAAGTGCACACACCTTAGAGAAAAACTTAAAACAACAACAACAAAATCTATGCATGGATTTCTATTTCATGCCAGATTAAAGTTACGCCTTAATTCTATTTTTTTACAGACTTGTCAAAGTTTCCACATAGGTGTGTATTATAGGGAAGGTTCAGATAAATCATTTTTTAAAAGATTTTTAAGTTTATTTTTTATTTATTATTATTGTTTAATTTGACTAGAGAGAGACAGAGAGAGGGCAAATGAGAATGCAAGCCACCAGGTCCAGCACTCAAATCATGGTGGACCATATGCGAGTCCAGCGCCCTAACCACCATGCAACCTGCTGGCCTTCAGAAATCATTTCTTTCTTTCTTTCTTTCTTTCTTTCTTTCTTTCTTTCTTTCTTTCTTTCTTTTTTTTTTTTTTTGAGAGTTTTTTGCTATA